TTTTAATTCACACAATGATAGATGTGCCGCAATCGTTCGGCAATATTTCAAAAAAAATTTTGCAAATTCTAGCAAACTATAATGCTTTATGTGTGCATGTAGTATTTGATCGCTACTGGTCGCCGTCTATAAAAGATTACGAACGTTCATTAAGGGGAGGTTCTGATAGTAATCATGAGTACGTTATCTCTGGTCCGGACCAAGCTAGGACACATGATTTTGCTAAAGAGGAATGACAGATTTAAAAAAGCTCTTGTCCTTTTCCTCATTTCACATTGGCAAAGTAACGATGTAGCCGCTTTTATAGGCAATAGGACTATTTTATTAAATTTTATTAATTGTTATTCATTCAGCGTCGTTAATGGTAATGTTGTCAAAACGGAGAAATTAGATTTTTCTTGTCCTTCGCACGAAGAGGCCGACACTAAAATTATTTATCATGCGTCTAAAATAAATTCAGATTCAACTGTTGTCGTAAAGTGCTCTGACACAGATATTGTTGTTATTATGTTAGGTAATTTGCATAAAATAACAGCAAAAGTTTATATTGAGTGTGGCGTTTCAAGAAGTCGACATATTATAGATGTAAATGTACTTCATGAACATTTAGGATTAGATCTGTGCAAAGCATTGCCAGGATTTCATGCATTTACCGGTTGCGATTATAATCCTGCATTTTTTAGAAAAGGTAAACAGCGCCCATTTAAAATATTCGCAAAAAACGAGGAGTTTCAGCAAGCGTTCGCTAGTTTAGGAGATACGGGGATCGATATAGACAATACTTTTGCAAAAATACAGGCATTCGTTTGCAGTATGTACGGATATGAGACACAAAAAAAAATCAATAACGTCAGATATCGAATGTTCCTCCGAAATTATAAAGTTAAAAATACTGATGAAGCCTTTTTAAAAGCAAATTTGAAAAACTTGGACGCTTCCTGCTTGCCACCTTGCAACACCGAGCTTCTACAGCAAATGAGAAGAGCACACTATATTGCACACTTGTGGAATAAGGCAACATTACGGGATCCAATTGAATTTGAGCCCGAAACATCAGGATGGACCTTAACTCACAGCAAATATGAATTTCTATGGTTTGAAGGCCCACAGTTGCCACCATCAGTAAAAGATGTCATTTTGGATAATCAGGATTCGGAAGGTAATTTTCGATTTGCGACTCTTAATGGTATATATGATTTATTTAGTTTATTTAAATATTTACTATTTTCAATTGATGACGAGGAATCCGAGTATGACAGTGATGAAGATCCGGAAAATGAAGAAAATGCACGATATACAGAATATGAAACCGATTGATTATTTTCATATTTGCTACGAATAAAATTTTTATCTATTGTTACAATAAATTGTTAATTAAATTTATAAATTCTTCTTAATTGACTTCTGACACTTTAATAATAGTTTCTCAAGTCCCCCTTGATTAATCAAATAAATTGTCAGAAATGCTCTAAAATATGTACGGTGTGAAAATCAAAAGAAAAGCGATCGGTGCTGCGCCGCGCGCCGAAATACGCTCTTGCACTTCGCACCCGATTTTCTCATAATCTCTTCTACTTTAACTTCTGACACTTTGCACATACTTTGCTCTATACGTAAACAGTGTAAATTCAAATTGTCAGAAGTTTTCTTTAAAATGTAAATTTTCCGATATTTTTCGCAACTTTGGCAGCTTCTGACAACCTTTTAGCTTCCACTTACCCTTCTGACAATTTTTTTACTGCTTTTTCTCATAATCTTCGATGTCTATGTAAATTTTCAGCCGTGCACATCGACAGTTTTTTTAGTTGGACAATTTACACGTTTGATCGTCCGCCCATGCATTTACCTTACAGCGCGCCTTCTGACGGTCGGGCTTTCGCTTTGCTGGCAGCAATCGAACCTTTTCCAGGTAAAATATTTCATGCACCGAGGCATGTCGCACCCCATGTAGCCAGCTCTCCGTCTATAACTTACCAATGGAGGGTTAAGATTATACTTGAGACAGTCTTAAATGTAAGAATCGACTATGAATACCGACCTGTTTCGCTGTCGTGAAGTTGATACTGAATCTTTCCTTGTATGAGTAAGTACATTACTCAACAAAATCTAGGGAACACTTTCAAACACGCTAAAAATTGAGCAATATTCAGAACACCATAATTCAATGAAAAATCATCGCAGACAAAAAATTAAAAAAGGATTTTAAAGGTTGAAATCTCTACTTTCGAAATCTATAATTGAAATTTCAATATGACTGATATTTTACGGAGTTATACGGACACAAATGGATATTCGTCAAATCTAAAAATTTTTTACAAAATTTACAAAGGTCTATGGCGTCAGGTAAAAATTACACGAAAATACGGTTTATAGCAGTCGAAAGAGTGCTATAAACCGCATTTTACCTTTATCTTTACCTTTAATTTCTTTTTTTATTAAACATTGTACGATTTTTTTTCACTGAATTATTGAACGATGAAGCAAAAGTAATCACTTCTACTTTAACGTTCAATACCTCGGTGGAAAAAAATCGTACAACAATCAATAAAAAAGGAAATTGAAGGTAAAGATTCACTCTTTCGACTGCTACGAACCGCATTTTCGTGTAATTTTTACCTCACGTCATAAACCTTTGTAAAGTGTGTACAAAATTATACGATATGTTTTAGATTTAACAAATATCCATTTGTCCGTATAGCTCCGTCAAAGATCAGTTAGATTGAATTATCAATTACTGATTTTGAAAGTAGAGATTTCAACCTTTAAAATGCTTTTTTAAAAATCTCATTATGACCATTTTTGACGAAGTTACTCTAACCTGAAGTTAAAAGATCATTATGTGATGTCTTTTTTGATCAAAATTTTCGAAGTGCTCTTGCCATTTTCTGAAAAATAATGGTTACCGATATTAGCGTAACCCAATGTGCACCACGTGGAGGTTGTCGGTCGGAATTTGCACATAGTGCG